AGTTGAGAACTTTTTTAATATGTTAGGAATGGTGATCAATGTGGTGAATGCTTCTTGCAAGCGTAAAGACATGCTTCGACAAAGTTACAAAGATAGAGTGCAAGAAGCAATTGGTAAGTGTGAAATTGATACTGGAACAGGGAAATGCTTTCTCTTATACGAGCCGGAGATACACGGTGGGGTTCTCATTACAAAACCATTTTGAGCTTGATTGCTTTGTTTCCGAATGTTGTTGAAGTGCTCCGGTATGTTGAAGAGGACGGGGATAATGGTTTTAGTCACACTCAAGCAACTGGTATTTTAGCATATTTGAAGACATTTGATTTTGTGATTTATTTGCATTTGATGTTTCATATTGTAGAGGTCACAGACTTGTTGTCACGGGCTCTTCAAAAAAAGGATCAAGATATTTTGGAAGCGGTTTCATTGATAAGAGGAACCAAACAACTATTGCAACAATTTAGAGAAACTGTTTTGATCCACTTTTGAAGAAAATGTATTCTTTTTGTGAAGCAAATGRTATTAAGGCTTTGGATATGGAAGACCGTTATTCAAAAAACGGAAGACAAAGGACCAACATCACCAATTGTCATTATTACAAGTTTGATATTTGCAACACTGTTGTGGACATGCAAATTCAAGAGTTTGGGGATCGATTTAGTGAGGTAAGTATTGAATTGCTTAAAAATATACAGCTTTGAGCCCATGCGATTCATTTTCGCAATTCAATGTATCAGATTTATTGAAGTTGAGTGAGTTGTATCCTCAAGATTTTAGTCATATGGAAAGGATCACTCTTGAAAAACAACTTAACATGTACTATTTGATTGTGCGTCAAGATAAAAGATTTGTCAATTTGAGTGGTATTGCCGAGCTCGCTAGACTGCTAGTGGAAACAAAAAAGCATCAAACTTATCCTCTAGTCTATCGGTTATTGAAGTTGGCCTTGGTTTTGCCAGTTGCTACTGCAACAGTCGAAAGATGTTTTTCTGCTATGAAGATTGTGAAATCAGATTTGCGCAACAAAATCGGTGATGAATTTTTGAATGCTGCAATAATATGTACTATAGAAAAAGAAGCACTTCTCGCAGTTTCAAATGATGATGTAATTACGCAATTTCAAAAGATGAAGAGTCGTAGGGCACAGTTGTAAGAGGTAACTTTTTATCATTTTTGTATGAAATTGAAGTTAATTATTATTTTATTTTATATCCTGCCTCCTACAATATATTTTTCTGCATCCGCCACTGTTGACAATTGTACTCCCATGGAAACTACAATGGCACCTCCCTTGAAAATTTATGCCAACCCTGATGGTAAATCTGACAATGTCACGGATTATCGGGGAATGATCGGGTCCCATCTTTACTTGGCTAGTAGTCGTCCAGACATTATGTTTGCTACATGTCTCTGTGCTCGTTACCAAGCCAATCTCAAAAAATCTCACCTGGTTGCAATCAAATGAATTTTCAGGTTCCTCAAAAGATATCTTACACATGGATCTTTGGTATCCTAAAAATCATGCAAACTAAATGGACGTAAGGAATTTTGCTCCTAGTCATTGGCTCATGGCCATCACCGATGAATTGATGATTGCGTCAAGTGTTACGTAAAATGTGTTGATGTTGTAAGCTTTTATATTAGAAATTATGATTTTAAATTTTAATAAATTATTATTTGTCACATTATATCATAACTTTTAGTGATATAATAAAAAAATTAAAAAGTATGGATATAATGTCTTATAAAAAATTTATTAAAACTGATGCGGTAGAAGCTTATACAAAAAAATTTCAATAAAAGAATTTTTTTTTTTATTTAACCTGGATATTTAACCCGTTATGCGAGTCGATTAATCTCAGGACGATCATCTGCTTTTGTAGATAGCCCGGAATCACCGCATTTGAACCTCCGTGGCCACAAGGGGATTTTTATTCCTCCTTGGATTTGAAGCTGAGACCTCCTGATACTTTTGATCTTTGAAGCCAAGATCAAATCAATCAGGCACCACCTTTGTAGTTATAGAAGAAAGACTTTAGTGTCGCATACAATTTATTGATGTCATATATTATATATATGTTTATAAAAGTTTTATTTAATTGGATTTCAAATATAAGAAAAACAGATACATTATAATTTGATATTAATCATAATAATTCAAAACAATTGCGTATTAAATTATAAATCATACATATACTTAATATATTACAAAAACATGGAACTTCGTGCTTCAACTCACGTCCACTTAACCTAGTATGATACTCTAGAGCCGATAGATTTTGGTCGGACCTTCATTCTATTTTTGGTAATGGCATGAGCATCGAGTTCATGGCTCGGACACATCTTACTACGCACTCCGTACCTACACTTTCCCAACGTCGTGTATACTTTCTCATCTTTATTTGTCAATTTACTAATGTTTCAGTCGAGTTTGTTCCTCTTTGTCTTTTTTGAAAGGACCTGCGGAGTGGAAAGCAATAAGTTTGGCGAGCTCTACCCATTAACTTCACTTGAGGTTTGGCCTCATCCCGTAGTTGCCTTGCTCACCCAAAAGCTCGATGTTAAAGCATATACGCAATCTTTCCATCATTCGTTGTAACAAGGAGACTTTTCCAAATGATGTAACTCTTGTCAAATTAGTGAACAACAAAATGCAAATGTTTGCCTTTTTTTTATTCTCATTCAAATAGTATTGTGCCTTGTAATAATGTTAATAGAATTGGTAGGATTTGGATTTGAAAGGATTTGTAATCTTTGGTTTGTAAGATTTGTAATTGAATTGAATTCCATTATTTATAAAAAAAATTATATAATTTTTTATAAATAATTATAAAAATAATTAAATTACCTGCTTATTAATTAATTATTACAAAACAATTGTTATTAACATATTTTAAAATCATTTATATAGAAATACTACAAAATCTCGTGAAATACCAACCAATCCCATAGGATTTTAAAATCCAATGTTTGCAAGATTCTAAAAGAAATCCTGAGCTTTCAAATCCATAAAATCGTTCAATCCAAACATGGAATTGAAATGGAATTCAATTCCAAATCCAAATCCAATCCAATATGCACCTTGACCAACACCATTCATCGCCACCACCATGAGCCACCTCTCCTCCACCATAACCACCACCATCGGCTACGACTACCACTGCCCACCACCACCACCGACTATCACTACCACCGTCGGCCACCACTGTCGGCTACCACTATCACTATCTACCATATTCATGTCTTTCACAACCACAACCACAACCACAACCACCACCTCCACCATAACCACCACCACTATCCACATCACACCTACCTGTACCACATAGGCCACAAATACCTCCTCCACCATTGTTGACCGCCACCACAACTTATCCACCATCTTCATGTCCTCCACAACCATTATCGTCCACCAATCACCAATGCTTCTACCTCCACAACAATTGTTGTTGCAACAATCTTTACCATGCCTTCACCAATTGATAAGGACCTTTCAAACCAAATAAAACATAATTTCTCTTTTATATGAATCGGATTTTTTCAAACTAAAATCAATTTTATAAAAATTTCCATTCAAATTTGGTACTATTTTATATTTATGTATATGAAAATTGTGTAAAAAATGTTTACAAATTAAATTATTTACTTTATTTGTGTTAATTATAACTATTATATGTTGTGTAAAATCATAAAATAACTTTTGGGGGCAACTTGTCTAGTTATACCAAACATCATATAGACATTTGTTCTGTCCAGTCCTACACTCCTGTAATGTCCAGTTTAGTCATTTCCAATCCTATCCAATCATGTATGCATACCAAACGTTACCTAAAAGACCCAAACTGGAATTCTGCCACAAGGGAATAATACCACGCATTACAATTTACACGCAAACAACACATAGGGCTTAGTTCCATGTCGTATGTGGTTCTTTCGCCATAAATTTCACTCGAACAGGTACAAAGCTTGTCTTGTATTAAACGGTAAGACTCAATAGGTCGTTATAGAATGTGACAAGACTTTTGAGTCCAGTTGTTATACTCACCACCATCAAAACATATTGAGCTCGTAGATCAATTTGATGTTAAAAACGTATTTCTTTCACAATGATCACTGTGTAAATGCACAAACCGCCGAAAGTTACAGATATGTACTCAATCATATTTGCCACTTACACAAGTCTCTTTACGAGCTTACATAAGCCCCTAGAGCTTGGTACCACTGGTTTGCAACTTTCATCACATCCACGAGTTTTCGCTATATTGTGCAAGATACTCCCCTCTTCCTTTACTGCCTAAGCATGGATACGACTTACACTTTACGTGGACAATATTGTCCTCGCTACGTCTTCTACTAATCTGCTATTGCCTCACTATCCCGTGACTTCGTCATGACAGATCTTGATAACTGCATCAGTTTATCGGCATCACAGGAAGCCAAGACACCATTGGATTGTCTTTGACACAAAAATAGTACAAGGAAGATATCCTAACTCGAGCTTCCATGACATTGTGCAATCCAACCACAATAGCAGGGGACACATTTGCAAACTTAGTGCCTCGGTCGACCCTGCTCATTGCAAACCTGACCTCGTACTTCAGCAAGTGTATATACCTAACTTTAGCAAGTGTGTCTATTCATGTACGAACCATATGAGCCCCATCTTTCAGTTTCTTAAAAGGGTATTGTAGTACGTGAAAGGGACCCTAACCGCGAACTACACCTCGCCATTTCACGGTCCACCTCCTTGACTACCTATTCTGACACCGACAGTGGTGGCTGCCGGGACTCATGATGTTTGACCTCTGACTAATATGTTTACCTTGACAACTTGGTCTCGTGGTCCTCTTAAGTGCAAAAGCAAAATAGTGGTATTGGCAATGCGATTGTAGAAACGAGCTAGTTTGACGACCTCCTCGAGTTATATCCCCCATCATGTGTGCCATGCTCATGTACTGCGTTAATGCCTCTGTCATCTGCATGTTGGGCGACCCAATTCAACATCAAGACACGTAACACGTGAAACTTGACATCCTATTCATTTGTGAGATGGTTTGGATCCATGCGATACATGTCCTTCAGAGTTCCCTGTAGTTGGTCAACAACCAAATCTAGCTAGCATGTTGACCATCTACCCTATGTTTCAAACTTGTTAAACCTGGTCAACCCGATAGAACATTGTTTAAACCATACTTGCGAGAGTGACTGTCAAGGGAGAAAGAAATGGGATTGTGTCAACGTCAACGGGACCCTATTTCGACAAAAAAACAGCCCCTAGTGTTGATATCTTCACAAAAGGCTTGCCTTGCTACTTATTTGCACCGTTTCAATCCAGTCTAAACGTCCGACCACCTCCTGTTCAGACCGTGGGGCTGTGGTGGTAATAGCCAATAAACATGAAAAGAATGTACATAATTGTTTCCTTATTTGAATGATTTTCCTTTCCTAGATTAACTCATTACTAGGAAAGTATCCTTGTAAATCATTATATATACTAATATGCAACACAAATGATTAATACACAATCTGATGAAAGAAAAAGAACACCTAAATTAAGCATGGATTCAACCATTGGCATTTTTTTACTTTTTAATAAGATGAGATGAAACATTTGGAATGATAATGAAAGAAAGAAAGAAAGAAAAGCAAAACTTCTCTAAATGGCCTTTAATTAATATAAAATGGAAAACTCAAAGAAATGTGTGACATTTTCAACTGTCAGTTCTATTGGACACATTTTTTTAGCACCTCCAATTACCAAACATCATACAGAGATCAGATCTATATGATTTCCAACAGTTCTACCAGCCAAAATGCCAAAACCAACATAGACTCAAAAACTTCAATAAGTGTGAAGTGTTCTTCCCTCCCTCCCTCCCTATGGATATATTCAAGAATGGTTGAACCAAGGTCCAATTGCACCATTTACATGCCCATTCCCCATACCATTTGGGACAAGGGTAGGAGGGAGTCCAACCGCCATTGGAGGTGGTCCACCAGGGTACAACCCGTGACCGTGTGGGAGTGATGAGTGAGGACTCACCAGAGGACTGGCGGCTGGACTAGCACCAGCTGCTCCTTTGCGTTGTTGGAGGGCATGAATTTGTCTCAGACCCTCTTCGTGAATACGACAGATTGTTTCCAGCTCCTTCATTGATAGAGCCTCCAGCCCTGCACCATATAATGGTGCATGTCTTGACATTTCTTCTTGAAGCGATCCCTCCAGACTATGGATGTATTGCTGCAAATATAACACCACCACTTCAGCACATTTCACTATTATTGAATTCCCAGCAGTTTATTAAATTGTAAGTTGATCATATAAATTATAACTTCAAAACTACTGTATTCACCATTCTCTACAGTTCACACACTCATCTCAAAGCACATACAAAATAGAGCAAAGAACAAGAATGGTTTTGTCGGCTACTTTTAAATACTTTCTGTTTATAAGTCGTATATTTCCATAAAGGAATAACTAAAATAAGCCACTGTCATGTGATCCCCACTTCAAATTGTGTTTGCTAAGTCACAACTGGTAAGTAACATGATAAGCATTAATATTCATCAAAATGATACGAACCCTGCATATTTAACCCCCTCTAGCCAATTTGAAAGCAAAACTTTAGCCAACTTTCATGATAGAATTATCGATCTGCCCACTGCTATTCTTACAATGTATAGGTGGTACAGATTATAGTCCACGAGATTATTCTGTTAGCATTAGAGGATATTTAAGTTTAACCAATAAATTGCACTCTTGCTCAAACATACCAACATTCATGGTACAGAAAGAGAGTACTGCTATCTGACCATATTAGAGAAGCATCACTTGTTTTTCTACCACCCTGCTCTAGGTAGCATATATGCTTATTAGCCTATTTGTATATGATATTCTAAACCTCCTAAAGAAAATTAAAAATAAAATAAAAAATTTGTTAACAATAGCTTCAAAAGTAAACAAAAACTAAAAAATTAAGGTTCGTGGCTTGGCTTTGAGCAGAACCATTGAGAACCCAAAACTACACCAGAAGCGAACCAACATCTGCTATATGTTCCTTGGTTCTGGCTTTTGCTAAGTTTTGGTTTATATTCAGACAACAATCCTAGCATCAAGCACTTGCTCTAAATAACAATAAAACAAGTACATAGGCTATATCAGAACCAAACCTCGCAAGTCTGCAATTTGGATTCCATCCCATCAATATATGCTTCACATCGAGCAATCTGTTCCTCCTTCTCACGTTTTTCCCCTTCGGTCTGTCCAACTGTTTGTGTCAATCTTCGAATTTCATCTTCAAGTGACTGCCGGATTTCTTCTCTGCTCACATTCTCTGTTGCATAACGTTTCAGTTCATCATCAAATCTTTTCCGTGCAGCTTCAGCATTCCTTAGTCTTTCAGCAAGAGCATTTTTCTCCTTTGTTATTCTCTGCAACACATTCATTCGCTATTCAAGACTAGCATGCTTCAAGCAGATTTGAGAGCATAAAAATTCTATATTTCACTCATGAAGGTGGATCTTTTGTTAAAAGAATGTGGTTTTCAATGGAAGTCAAGGGTAGGAAACATCTGCGAATATGTTCAAAATAAGTTCAGCTAAGAGACCATAGCACTTCATGCTGATCAGAATGTGTCTACATTTGGTTTCTACTTAAGTGGCTTTTGATTTCCAGAAACTATTAAAGTTCTGTGCGTCAAATGACTGAATATATGCCAAAATTCCAAACAAAAATTTAAGAATTTCTTCAGGTCTATTTTAACAATATAGGCACGTGAATAAGTTCTCATGAAATCAATTTGCAGAGCATATTCTTCAAGACACTAATTCAGCAATACTACTAGCTGTAATCATGTATCAGAGACTACCTCAGATGTTCCAAGAAGCCATGACATTGCCAAAAACAAATATAGAAGAATAAAGCAAAAAAACACCCATCTTCCCAAATTTCTATTTACTAAAGGTGCACTGGCATACAAATTTTCAGATCATTTTATATAGAAACTTTTAGGCTCACATTTCAGAACACACAAACAATTCAATTTTCAAAATCTTAGGTGTACAGAAAACGAAAGCAAAAGAAGAGTCAAGTAAATAAGCCAGTAGTCCTTCAGCAGAATTTAGGAAACAAGTTTGGCAAAACCACTGTCTTCAAAAACTTTTTGCAATATTTTCGATGCTAATCATAAACAAGATAATTGATAAATTGAGGCAATAGACTTTTCAAATTGAAGTCAATGTGATCATGATATTGAGCTTAAGTTTAAAGCAAAAAACATATAACAGTGAAAAAAATTACTTGGTACATTTAAGTAAGCTTTTTTTCATCAAGTCTACATGACTAAGACAGCAATAACCTTCAACGGAAAAAATGAAAACAATGCCACTCTACCATTCAGTTAGTTAATGGACAAAAAACTGAAAAGAAGGCGACCACGTTGGTTTAACTGGAAACTCTATGACACGCTTGAAAAATTAGTTGTTTAAGAGACTAAAATGAGCAGCACCTAAAAGTTTGGTGCCAAAGAGTTGAAGATAACTTGATCTAGGACTGAGGAATCAATCTCCTCTCAGCTATCAGGAGAAGTAGCACACTACACTGAGATTGTGAGGCATTCCTTATGGATCGCCACCATTCACTCGCAAAACTCCATAAGGTACAACATACTCTTATTAATGGAAATATTGAGGGGAAAAAATCATATAAGACGAGACCGATTATGTGGGAGGGAGGCAAGTTCCTCCTCTGCAAGGGGAAGTAAAAAACGCAACTTGCGATACATAGATGGATAGGTGATGAATTATTTTAGTAGAAGCCCTAGTTCTCATTTGGATTTGGTTGAGCAGTAACCACTCCTCTATCTCCCTTCATGTCAACCATAAAACAAAATACTAATGTTCACAAACAAAGCGCCAAGATGGTGATGAATTTGGAGGTGAATATATCTGTGTAAGAATTTTTTTTGTTTAAATGCAAACATAGCACTTTAGTCAAAGTCAATTATATTGAATAAAATACATAATAATAAATGAAAATAGCACAGCTCTGCAGCAAGGTTTAGCATTTAGATTCTTATAGAACAACCCATTACTAAAAAGGTAAATCAGAGTTGAAACCATGTGTCTACCAAGTATATGTTAAATACAAACAGGGAAAAAAAAGAAAGAAACAAGCTTAAAATGCCTCCTAACTTTGGCTGAAAATGTATACAATGTACACAAGTCAGCAAAGTCTTTTCCTTTTTTCAAAAAATTTATTGATATACTTCTATAGTCAAGCTTTGGAGCAACAGTAAATGCCAGACTTCAGAACCATGTAGCATTTTTTCTTTATAATAGAGCAGAACAAACAAAATTAGTCAAAGCAACAGTCAATTAAACCACAAAATTGATATATCTTCATTGATCATTTACAGTATAGACTGAAAGCAAAAAACTGATCATCAACCTAATAATTAAGAATGCATTTGATATGCGGACAAAAGGGACAGGACAGGACAGGACCAGACTGGTTAGGCAAGAGTGATGTAGGAGGGAGGGGGGAAGAATTGTGGAAGGTTTTAGGGTTCTAATTTAACATAGGCAGTTTAGTGATTTACCAAACTTGTCCCATCTCCCTGGATTTGTCCACCTATTTTGGTGGGAGAAAAACATGCATTTGTGTCCCCCCTCAGTCCCATTGTTTCCTAGTCTAATGTGGCACCAAACATGGCTACGAGTTTATGTTCTGTCCTGTGAAATGATTCACAGAACCACCATACTGGCATATCCTCAAGATTTCAATCGTTCTTCATCTCATACATATCACGATTCACACATATCACATGCCTAATGGTTACAATGTAGTAAGAATATACGACATCTTTAGATCATAATTCTGGGAAAGCAATTGAGGGAGGAGGGGTAAAGACAGACATACCAAGTGATGGTTCTGCTTTATAAGTAGAAAGTTGGACTAAGAAGTTTTCTCACTGAAGAGGGAGAGAAAATATAAATAAATACCTTCAACTCATCACGTTTCCGGGATTTCAATTGAGAAAGTTGTGCCTCTGCATCATGAAGCCTCTCTTGAAATATTTTCTTTTCAGCAGTAAGCTTAGCAATTCCATCATCTCGTTCTGAGCGAAGCCATTCAAGTTGACTTTCAATTTCTTGCATTTGTTCAGACATTTCCTTTCTCTCCAAAGCAAAACGATCCATTTCAGCCTTCATCTCAGTCTGCCATTTCATGAACACTTATAATTTCTAACCACCACTTCCAAAAGTTTCAGTTTATAAACATAGACAACCAATAGAACAAGTACCTTAAGACGGCTATTAGTGGTCTCAGCATCGCTCAGCCTTTGCATCAGAACAGCCTTTTCTTTAGCCATATTGGAAACTTCAGCTTTGCTTTCTTCACGAATGCGAAGAATTTCATCTTCGCTGGCACATAACTGGTGCCAAAGAGCAGCACGATCAACATTTGCGAGATCAGCTACCTCCTGCATCATGCTTAAAACTGGTCTAACAAATTCTTGCTCCTCAGAAACAAGAAATACCAAAATTTCCAAATCTAAGTCTACTTCCCGACTAGTTTCTGTAGTACTAGTAGCTCGGTCGACGAGCCTCTTTAGTATCCTCAGCCTGTAAGGCCCATCAGCATACCACTTAAACAATATAGTGTAAAGCATCTTCACAAATCCTCTCACGCAAGGATCTCTCGAAAGACCCAAAGTCTCAGCTAGACCAAGAACAGAAGTAAAATCATCCCGTTGGACTCTCAGTTGCTCAATGGTTTCTCCCTCCACAACCACTTCCTCATGCTGAAAATTTTCAGCAACAAATTGTGAAGTTAGATTTAACCGTCGAGCCAATCTTCTTTCTAAGACCATTGCCACTGATTGTGCCATGATTGCGCCCCGAGCCACAGCCATCTCAAATGTTTGAGAAGCTTCAACAGCAAGGCAAGGGATGGACAACATTTCTAATAAGATATATATATCAGAAAAATGAGATGTTGGAGCACAGAAAGTTTGTTGATCTGTGTGCAATCTATCAGACGCCCCATTTTCACCAAATAAGAAAATTCCACAAGGCACTGACGAGCAAGTATCGCGATAATCATCATCACCATCAATGTCTTTTAATATAGCCTCAGCAACATCAGTACAACTTGCTACTGTTCGACTCAAATAATCAAGGGCACAGGCAGAGACTTCACCACCCAAGCTTTTTAGCCTTGCACGGACACATCTGACCTGAGCAATACAACAAAATTGTAAGTATTAAAAGTGAAGTGCAAAGACACAAAACATACTCGATAATGAAACCATCGTAAGAAAGATAAGAGCACTTACTGCTTCTGGAAGATGCTGGCAGTGCAGTGCAGCTTTGAAGATGAAGTCAATAGTTGCTGCAAGAGGTGCATCGTTTGAGTCTTCCAAGAGTTCGAAAGATTGAAATAGAACACGCTCCCACACTTCACTGTTACATTTCAATTGGCTAAGGGCGCCAAGAGCCTGAACATGTCACATGTAAGTTATCACACTACCTAAATTTTGATATAATATATAACCTAAATCCCAAATAGACATTGGGGAAAAAATATCAATGAAGACAGAGAGCATTTTACCGGTAGCAGTAAATCAGGTTCTCCTTCTGACTTTTTAAGTCTGTCCAAGAGTGCACAAGCAGCAAGTGGATGTTCTGAATGCTCGACCAATTTAGGTACAAGAGCAACTAGGTCAGGTTGCAGATGTTTAGGAGCCTTGTCCAATACAAGAGCAATCTTCTGTGCAGACTGTGGTCTTCGTCTTGGCTCAGGACAACCTTGTGGAACAGCTCCATCTAGCGCTCTTAATGAGTTCACAATCAATCCTAAAAGTTCCTCAGACTGCTCCGGCCATTTAGTCTGGATATAACAATCTGCTAAGCAAATACAAAATAAATGAAAGAGAAACTAAGATTATTAGAGGATCGGATGTGTACCTTAGACCGAAGGGATGAACTCTCTGATGAACTAGCAGCACAGGTTTCGGGTGGACAGAAAGGCTGTCCAGTGTAGGTTTTTTCGGATGTGTCATTCCCGTTCATATCAGAGCTTTGTACAGCAGAAGCAGTCGAGATCTCATCTGTTCCAGAATCCAGTCTCCCATGTACATAAAGCTGTGAAGATGATTCCATAACCCCACTTCGCCTATCAGGTTCTGGGGGGCTACTAGCTCCACTACCATCTGCAGAAGGTCTAGAGCTCCCATCTGAGCAATCATCGTTTGAGCTTCCTTCAGATGGTTGGCAACACTCAACCATAATATCCAGAAGCAAATCAATTATTGCCTGCTGCAGAACTTTGACTCCCATAAGCAGGTTCATCAGACTGGGGGAAGACTCGTCAGTTTTAGCAATTTTCTTCCCATCATTGGTACCAGAGAGCTTTGTTGGCAGAAGCAAACGCTTTACCTTGGCAGGGTCATCAAGATAAACTCGAAGTCCAGTCAAAAATCCAGCTATTGCACCAGCATCCATGAGAAGCTTTTCTCTTAAAGTGACTTGGGGCTGGGAAGGATTATCCCCGTATGTTAGGTGAAAGCCTGCTCTAGAAAGAAGGTTCCGGAATATATCTTCCTCATCTCCACTGATTCCTTCACTGTCCTCTGAATCAATAAGTTCATCAGGATCAGTTGTCAGAGCATCCTGATCATCCTCAGAAGCATAAACCTGGGAAAAAAGATGCACCTTTTACAATAGCAAAAAAAGAAAAAAAAAGAGGAAAGAGTCTGGAGTGGCTAGATGTAGTGGAAGGAAAAAATATCAAACCATGGCCCCATTCATCTTTGTTGAAAGTACATAAATATATACTTGAGATCACGTGAGAAAAGAAACTTTTGATGAGAAACGGGAGAAGTGGTGAAGGTACCCTTATATTGTGTGAACGCTATGTTATATTTGTGAAGGTACTCTTATCTTGTGTGAATGTTATGTTATATTTTGTGAAGGTGGTGAAGGTTACAGACAATGTGTACCTTCACCAATTTCTGTGATGACAGTCACCTCCACAAGTCTTCACACAAAATAAGGGTACCTTCACATATATTATGTGAAGATTATGTCAAGGTTGCATTTCTCACACTTCTCATGAAAAATGGCATTTCTCACTGGAACCCAACCCTATGTGTGTATTATGTTCAGTGTCGCAACTTCAAGAAGCCGTATCTCACCAGATAAAGAAGGCAGGTATTATTCAAACTTGGAAACATTCTATATTTGAAACAGTATTTTACTGGCTGCTGAGCTAATTAGCCACAGTGAGCCAGTAAATATGCCTCCAGATAGAATCATTGCAGCGTTGCTGAACGGACTGCTCTTCTCCTGCCATCAACTTGCTAACATAACACACCTATGTCCTACTGGTGGATATGTGCCTCCAAGGTCTTAGTTTAAATATCACTAAATTGTACGAAGTTCTTACTCCAATTTCTTTCTATAATGAGTGACATCTTAAACTACTTCACTTCCACACTCTTCTCAGTATAATTTCCTAAGGTCCCACACGTCCAACTTAACAAAGCATCTACATGCATTTTTCCTCAATATGAACCATGCTACCGATCAGCTCATATTCTTTCTATAGGACTTGTTCTACCTGCAAGAGATTCAAAGGTCAGACAACCCCCTCACACAGTTTCTATTTGATCCATCCCATTCTTATCCTATGACTAACATAACTGAATCAATGTATGGAGAGCACTGTTCAACAACTTCTTATGTGCAACATGATCATTATCACACTCACTTTCCGAGTGGTGATATCTATTCACTTCTTTATAAGTCTACAACTCTACTCACAGACAGGCTAAAATTTGAAGATTTCAAATAACATTATCATGCAGTTTCTAGTAACTCGATCATTTGAGCATATTATTCTGCCAGTATGTTGATTATAAGTTCATAGATAAATTAGATTAGAGGCTAGGCTTAAGGCATTTCCTAGTGGTATCCTATCAACGTATAGCTTTCAATTACCTCAGAGAATGGGGGTCTTTCCCACAAGTCTACTTACTTCTTTGGCCTACTGGCCAATTTGCAAGGAAAACCTATAAATACGACCTACTAAAATAAGACCATCAATCTGATCAGTAACAAGAACCAGAACCTGATTCAAATAGATTAAGTGTTTTCATACTTGCATGTAGCAGCAGATATATATCCTCTATAGTTGTATTTCAAAAATTAGATCACTACTCAATGGTAGAAACTTCTACCTAATTATATAGAGTTCCATGCACAACTAGATTGTGAATTTTTCATCTGTGCATGAATCACCAGTGATTTTAAACCTGAAGGCAGTAACAATTTCCATTATTAGCAATAGACTACGTACTACCCGCACCCAAAAACAGAAACTTGTATTTTGAACACACATAAAAATTGTTATTCATAAAACAAAGATTGGCCATAAAGGACAAATTTAACATAAGCAACCCTTTATAAAAGCAGCGATCCCAAAACTAAGCCTACACTGTGTAGCAATCTCTCCCATCTTCATGATTTTGAAAAAAGAAAACATGAGTAGAGATGTATTTACTTATTATACCTATCATTGGTATTCCCAGAATAATGCAATGTCTGCTTCATTTTTTGGGTGCAATATTTCCTATTCTAGGATGCTTACAAGTTACAACATGTCCTCCTATAATAAACTGGCTTACAAATTTACCCTTGATAATGTGCCTTATTTTCAAAAGTGTTGGCCATTGATGAAATTGCTTTTTGGTTTCTAAAGTACATTTACCCTAACTGTCAAGAGTACTGAAAATAAGACATGCTTTTTAAGCCAGCCCATGGGATAATCATATCAAAACAGTAGAGTCAAACATCAATTATTCAAGGTCATTGATGTGCGCCACAAGATACAATCATATATATAAGTTTAAATTGCTTGTTTATCTTTTTACATTAAAAGAAGAAGCAAACTCTTAAGCTAAAAAACTTCAGAATGTTAATTTAAGTTTACGATACAACTACATTGTTAAAATAGTTCCCCTACAGCCACGGTTTCAAACTTACTTTCTGTGATGGTGCAATTTGGTTAAACAAAAAAAATGTATTTTGATTCAGGAATCAACACACTGACCTCTAGATCCGCAAACTCAAACCATGGGCAGCAATCCAGAATTTCACAAACAAAGACAACCGTGTCCCGCACAAGAAAACCTGCATCTGCTTCAAGCATATCCGAAACCTTCATGAACTGAAGCACAGAATTATTCCAGGTCTTTGTACAAATAGATGACTCCTTCCACACAGTCTTGGAAGGGTTTTTTTGGTTCAGTACGGCCATCCTGTATTTGACCCAAAAGTTCTTATCAGGGTCAGTGCCAACTGACTGATCGCTCTCCAGGTATATGCATATTGTGTCAAAGGACTCGTAAACACCTGCAATACGAAAACAAGACGGTCATAGCTGCTATAAAGATACAGATTATTTTTTACTATGTATTTGGTGATCAGAAAAAAGCTACCCACCCAGCCGAAGCTCACATCCACCAGCTTGAAAGAATCTGCTAAATATTTTACGGGTTTCCATTATGTCTTTAAAAGACAAGAAATTCTCCACCTTCCATGTAAAAGAACTCATTTTGCCCCCTTTATCTGTATGGAGACCAGCATTACCAGATTCACTTTCTTGATCAGTAAATTCCTGCATTATGGATGTCTCCTTCAAAATTAAAACTTCTGCAGAAAATACAACAACATCATGAACAAGGAATCCAGAGTCTTGATCAAATAGACTGGTCAGGGTCACAAATTCACGCCAGCCCCAGTCTTTTGCAGATTTGGAGTAACGATTCTGAGATTCCTTTGTAACAGACTTGTCCTCCATCTTTTGATTGACAACTGACAGACGATGGCTCACAAAACAACTCCAGTCACTTGTAGTATTTCGTGAATCCGTAACTTCAAGGAAAACTGAAAGATGGCATGGTGGCTGAGACTGCCCTGATACAATGAAGCACAAGTGTGAAAATCATACATATTTCTACAAACACTTCCAAGTAGTTCCTACAGACATTCTAACTGCTAAGAAGGTTTTACGAATTACATTCATTATTCACAGAAGATTTCTCAAGTGTCACTGTAATTTAATGAAATCCAAGGTAGAGCACACTTATTAGTTCATACCAATATTAGAGACTTCTACTAATCATGGTACAAAAGTTCTGTTACTGAATTAAATTTGAAGTCATACAATCTAACAAGCAACTGGGCATTCAGCTGATACACAGGTGAAAAGATTTCATTTCTAGCTTATTACAATGTTACTGAACTCCAAGGAACTGTTCAGAAAGAGGGCAATATTATTGCATACCTCGGGGGTATACTATAAGCCTGCAATCACGATTTCCAATTTGAAACCTCCTGCTCTTGATACAAAGACCTGTAATCTTCCTCTTTTTAAGAAGATCCTTCAACCTCGTGAAATTTTCAATCCTCCATGTGAATTTCCCCATATGGCCATCAGACTTTCTAGCACCACTCACAATTCTACCTCCAATTAATCCCCCATTCTTCGAGAAGCTACTATGCTCTTTAATGACATGGAAGGATGTGCTAAAGACAGCCGTATCATCCACCAAAAACCCAGATTCTGCCCCAGCAAAGTCTGTCATTTTCATATAATCATTCCATCCTAAACTAGTGTTATCCCCACTCTTATTATCAGCAGCAAATCGTCCATATGAATCCCTATGCATGTGATTCATCCCAGGCCTTTGATTCAGGACAGACATCCGAAACAAACACCAACAACTCCTATCCGAGATTGAAGCCTTCTCAGTATCTTTGCTTTCCAAACACATGGACAGATAATCCACCCCATTAACAGAACTCTGGTATATACTAATGCGCAAATTACACTCTCCAGCAGGGAAAACAGGACTCATTATCTTCTGTGTCTTGATCATTTCTTTAAACAAGGTAAAATTATGAACCTTCCAAGTGAACTTCCCACTCAAAACATCCCCAACCGGTCCGGTCATTACAACAGAATTCGACACAGAATTTGATTGAAGTTCATTATTATCACGCACAAAACTAATGGCTTCATTCAATATGAGAATATCGGCAGTAATAAGAACACAATGATCATCATTAAACATAAAACCCGATTTCACGTCAAGTATAGAAGCCGAGGGTGTAAAATCACACCACCCATGAGATTTCTTCTTTGTTGAGAACCTGTGCCAAGAATCACGATGAATCGATTTTGAATCATCGGTAGGGTTTACCACAGTTAATCGATAACTAGCGAAACAGTCCCACTTAGACGAGGAAGTCCCTCTAGGGTCCATGATTTGTAAATAAATCGAAATATAACCAGGCAATGCCTGCGAGTCACCCTTAGGGTACACTAACAAACGGCAATCGTAACCGCCGACTTCGAAATACTTACTCCACAAAGCCCTAGTTTTAACCCTAGGAAAATTGAAGATTTTCCATTTACACACGGCGGCGAATTCGCCCCGCCTCTCGATTGTCACGGACTCCAAGGACGATGAGGACGATGAGGAAGAGGAACAATCACGAGAAGACGATGATGCAGGATGGTCCTCAGTCGCCGGAGATGTTGCATTCATTAGTTGTACGGTCGGAGAAGGCGGCGGCGGCTGCTGTGATGACGACGATAATGATGATGAAACTGCTGCTTCTGCTGATGAAGAAGAAGAGACGGCCTCGGATGATGTCTGATGATGGTGATGCTTCATTTTTTGGCCTTGATTAACGAACTTTGTGTGTTCTATTTATAGATTTTTCTGGGTTCGATTTTTCTTGATGAAATATATGGAGATTGAGAGAGTGGTGTTGGTGTGGGGCTGGAGGTGGGGGTAGGGGTCGGGGTACGGGTGGGAGAAGGGAAGCATAGCACAGGGTTGGGGTTTTCTCTAGTACAACTTGGGAAGCCCTCTTAGAGTGACCACCCTTTGTTTAACACCATTTCGGTTCATATCTTGTTTTATATAACAAATTCCGTGTGTGCCTTTTTCGAGCGTGTTGGTTTGGCGAAACAAGCACGTATTTTGAAACCAAAAAGAAATGGCGTATACCGATATGCTAGTACGGTACACAAACGCAAATGTATTGTACGTATGGCTGAACGATACACTGTCTATGACACAGAAGGGTGTAATAGTGCCATTTTGTACTATGTTGGTGTGTAACAGGGGTGCAATAAAGTTAAGATGGATGTGGCCCTCTTATAGCTATCGCATGTTATTAATTTAGTTTCAAACTGATATTTTGTTATGTTGCATCAATCTTGTATTTATATATCGAATAACCCACATGTATGTTAAATTTCGATATACTTGCAAGCAGTATGTCTTCCACTCTGATATGAGGTTTGGAAACTTAAAATGCATTATAGTCATTGTGTTTCTAGCCTTATGTTTGTTGCTCAAGAATCTTGCACATATAAGTTGCTTTGTCCTAGCATATCAATAAGACATCTTACCTAATGTCAGCCATGCTCTTCAAATATGCATTTTAAGCGATTGGATCAAGCTGTTTTCAAGTCAATATGCTTCTTGAAATGCAACAACAAGCACCGAAAAGATCATAACATGAACTAACAAACGAAAAGACAATGGTTGAGCATGTCAACTAATAGTCTGATACATAATATCATGGTTTGAGCATCAACCTTTCGACAAGGCTTTAGGGGAGCTATACTTCCCAAAATATGAAACTTAAGTTTTACATATATTGTAACATTGTTACCAAACGTAGGTGTTTAGAGATCCAAGTAACATGACATACAAATATGAAGTACATTCAAGGGAGAACAAGGATGTATCATTGCTAGAGAATGTTCAAGGATTTTATTCAATTTGTGAGGGGAAACATGATTCAAATAGTTTGGAATAAATGTAATCCAACTATGATACCAAAGTCGTAAGTAGTCTGGTTCAATTCAAGGTGGTTAGCTATGAAAATTAGAGACATTAAAATATGATAAGAAGATCTTTGTTGCATTTCATGGGAAGTCATGCATGATATGTGAAACACTTTTTGTATTTACACATCATTTTGAAAATAAATTGTTAAGGGTGTCATAGGGGGTATGGAGGTACAACGTAGCAATGCAGTGTACTTGTGGTGAAAGGGTGCATGATACATGTGGTTTAGGGGTGCATTGATGTCATGTAGGCTATGGTGTTGTGTGATAAGGTATATTTCACTATCAAGATTGTAATATTATATGCTTTGTTTAACTACAAAACCTACTAATTTATGTTAGCCGCACATTAACAATGTATTTCTATACTTAATAAGCCTTGTGGTATTATATGATGTGCTTTTGATACTAGTTATTATAGTTATGAGTTGTATACGTTTACATAAAGCAAATTTCATATGAGGTTCATAAACTTCAATACATTGTTGTGCTAAATGGGCATTAAACTATAGACATATGTTTGTCATCTAAGAATGTTGTACATACCACCAGTTTAAGTATGATCTTTCATCTTAGCAATAAACGATATCGGCCAATGTCAGTCATACTCTTTAGATAGGCACTTTGAACCACTTGATTACGCACTTTGAGATGATTGTCCAAGTAGTTAGAAATTTTCTCCTTATGTGACCTAGAGATCATGAGTATGAATCTCATTGTTGATATGCTTAGGGAATTACTAATGGTGCTTAATAGGCAAGTGGCCAAAATTTCACATCATTGGTCATGGTTCCAAGTCTTCTAAAATAATATAAGTGATTTGACAAACATGACCTAATAAATGACAAACAAAGAAAGAAAGAAGTTGTATGTGGAAATTGTAATCACGTTGTTGTTACGAGAAAGATAACCCTAAAAGGCTATATCTAATGGAAGAATAAAAAGTATACATACTCATCTCATATCATTTGAAAACAAGTAATAATGGTAATATATCAACCATAGGGACAAAGAAAGTGAGAATTTCCAACATGTCAATGTTAGAATGAGATTCCAGATGGTCTACAAGGAATGATCTTTGGTTTGAGTTAACAATATACTAAGTAATGACAATAATAAATGAAAGCATGGGTATAAGTTGAGCTTGGAGTTTAGCAACTAAGTGTAGCAAAATATTGCTACAACACCCAAATAAGTTGTTGCAGTAATAGTTCTCAATTGCCACTATTGTTTTGAACAACCCTCTTTCAAGGTTTAGGTTAGACACTTTGCTAGCAGTGTTCAAAAGAAAACAAATTTTAGCATCGTATAAACCTTACAATTCTTACCATATAGTTGCAACCCGTAAAGGTTGACACAACTCTTTATAGCCATCTATAACACTCAGTACTCTAAAATTTGTGTTGGTTTACATTTAAGTTCAACTGCTCCAAGTAAAACGACTTGTGTCAATTTGTCAAGAATTACTTGGATGAAACTTAAAAACAAGGGGTGAGTAGCAGAGTTGCTTGCTATTAGTGAAAGCAATTATCTGCCAACACATAGGCATATATCTCCCAAACCTTCACTCACATCCAAGCTAGGGTGCTTAGCCTATCATTGCTGAAAAAAGTAAAGGCATACATCTAAATGGCGCAAAGGTAAAATGCATAAACGTAAAGTTTCCAGACAAATAAATGTTTAGGAAATGTAAAGTGCTATAATGTAAAGTTGCAAGAATGTAAAGTAAAGTTGCAAGAAATGTAAAGTAAACTGGCAAGAAATCTTAAAGTGCTAAAAGTGTAAGTGCTGAAAATCGTAAAGTTGTTGTGGAAACAGTAAAAATATTGTTGTAACATATTGTAACCAAAAGATCTTGAAACTCATAGGAAACTGAACACAAAGCTAGTCCAAGCTTAGGGGTTGTTTGTTTATCTCTTAATAGTTCCATTATGATGCAGCATCTGAATCGTTAATAGGTGATTTGTTTGGCAAAAACAAGTCTGCCTCTTAATGGTTCTAAAACCCTCTGAATGATTTTGTATCATGGACTTCACTTAACCATTCAACACCCTAATTTCATTGTGAACAATTATCAAACAATTATATTTTATTTTGCACTATATCATGAGAGCCTCTTAATCATTCTGACAACTTAATCATTCTGTACCAAACCATTCAGCAACTGTAAAACATCCCCTTAGAAAAGCTGGAGTTATAGATAAATTACTAAGATTCTTCTTATATGCTAAACAAGAAAGCCAAAAGACATATTACACATTGGGTAATAACCAACTAAAAACCATAAAAACTAGGAAGCATCTAAAGTACAAGTCTAAGGTAGTACAAAAAGCTTTTGGCATAGAAAATTTCTTCATCATATTGCAAGATTAGAATAGCAAGTCTTCCCAATCAATGCTTCAAAATCAGTCAATTTCTTCAACAAGGCTGCACACAATTTCTATAGCAAGCTCATAGTTAGCAAAATTCTCCAATTTTCGCAAAATAAAGACCAAACATTATAAGCAAGCTCGAAACTCAAATGCATGCAAAATAAAGATAAAAGACTCAATTTGTGATTGGGAGAATAAAAATAAGGTAGAATAAGATCCTAAAAATGTGCTAAAAGTGGGTATGAACGTACACACATCATACTCCCCACTTAAATTGTTGCTTATCCCGAAGCAACTAAAATGACAACAGAAAGACTCAATATATGAAAGGAAAATAAAAGAAAGGGTGAGCAGTAGTACCATAAAAACCATAGCCTTTCATAAATCTAAGTTCATCCAAACCTATGGTTTTTAGCACCATAAGCCAAGATTTAAGCTTCCTATTGTTAGGAAAATTCCATTTATAAACTTAAAATCACTAGGGCTTTTGTGATTTTATTTTTAAATTTATGGCTTCTAATCTCTTTCTCAAAAATTGTCTCTAAGAACAGGCGTTGTGGCATGTTCTACCTTTTGTGCTTTAACTTGTTCTTCTCTTTTCACTTCTTCTTCTTGACCTAATTTTTTTTTTGCTCTTTTTGATCTTTTTGATAGACCAAATGATACTTCCCTCCCCCATACTTGAAATCTTTAATGTTCTCATTGAGGTTCTTTTTGGGCTTAGGTTCAAGGGTGCAAAGGAAGTGTTGGAAAGTGTTTCAAGAAAGATGGCCTAAGTAATCTCCTTAGTATCAAAGAACAGTTGCCAGATTGCTTCCTAGTAAATACTTGTTTGGTTCTAGTAATAACATTAAGTAGGATGGTACCATCAAAACTATTTGGGCCATGGAATGTACGAAACTATTATCTCACTAATAAGACAGAAAATACAAACATTCCCAGACGCATGAATCCGAAAAATATAAAAGAATAAAATTAAAAAAAAAACTTCTATGGAGTAGAGGTTAGGTAGATGATGCAGCAGCAGGGGTCAAAAGTTCTTCATTTTCATTAAGTAGATATGCAGGGTATAGGGGGATGATATTGTATTCATCTGAATGCTCCATAGTCCATTCAACTTCCATCACAACATCTCTCTTCATTTCCAAATCTCTCAACACAGCATTGGACTTCTTCATATCATCAATCTTCTTATTCTGCCTCTCCATCCTCTCCAACAACATCATCTCTCTTTTCTCAAACTCTTCCTTTATCTCTTTCTTCTATTTCTCCATTTAGTTTGCTAATAATGCACCATTGATATGCATTGTATGCACCAATGTTATAACACTCATTTCTTTCCTTTTAACTATCTCATTTTCCTTTTACATCCCAAATTTGAGTCTTTTATTATCTTATTTTTCCCTTTCTTGTTTTATGGAGATAAAGTTGTGATTAATCTGTAATAAAGATATGAAGTGAAAATTTCCTTGATGACTTGATGGCTGATGTACCTTAGTCTTAGGTTGAGTGAAGTTGTAGTTAAGCTTTTGTACTTTATGTTGACTTTTACCAAACTTTGTCTCTAAGTT